AGACACTGTACAGTGGGTGATATTTTGTGCTTGATCGAAGTTCTTCGACGAGGCAAATTCTTGAAACCCGTCGTCAACGGTAGCCCCATCTCTGAGGATCCGGCGAAAGTTCTACGAAAGCCCAGGACCGCGTCTGCTTTCGATGTTTCTTTCGATGCGCCTTTTGATGCGTGCTGTGCTCCTTTTCGCTGGAGCTGCGATTTCTTGAAACTTTCATCGGGTCCTCAAAAATCGAGCTACCGTTCAGGGCGAGTTTCAACAACATGTTTCGTCGAACGATTTCAATCAAAAACGCAATAAAAGCCACGGCTATTTTTATGTCAGCCTGCCACCACAACTGCCACACCGCTGTCTGCCATAGATGAATGATAGTGGCTGCACCAGCTGTACATTGGCTAAAGGTTATATAACCCTACAAAAAAATGGCCACCGGTGGCCGCATTCGCGGAGCGAGCAAACGCGATCCAGCAAATGGACATAGAGGTCAGTGATTCTTACAAGCAAGCCTATAACCAGTGTGTTGTTTCTGGCTATTTCGTGCTCCTTTACATAACTGCAACATTTGTCTCATAAAGTAAAGCGTACCAAGAAAGTTTGAGCCAGCTAAAATAAAACGGGACGGGACTTCCCGTCCTTGTGTTCAATAATCCCTAACGTACCGAAAACGTTTCTCACCACCAGAATTACTCGGTAGATACACTTCATATGTTGAAACGAACTCACTGACCTCCGGCAGTTCCTGCCAGTCAGGCAAGATATTCCTTTGTATTTTGTTAGCTCTCCGCTATTCTAATATCGAAATAAGATCAACGGCGTCACCTGTTTGCCAAGTACAGTGTGAAATTACGATTTGAATTATTTGTGAACGGAAACTTATGCTCAGCGAGGTCGACATGTGTTACACTGAGGTATTTGCTCAGAAGCAATCGAGCAAGCCGCGATCTCAGAATGCATACGGCACTCGCATTTGCTTGTCGCGCGTTAAAGCTATAGAGTATGGTCGCATGTTTTCCGATATGAGAGTCGAAGAGAGGCCGGTAGCAGCATCTCACTGGAGCTTCCTTCTGCGGCGGGTTGTCATGTAGCTCGCTACGGTGGTTCTGTTGAATTGTATTTATTATTTATTTATTGAACTTTTCCTCTGCCCCCAAACACGCCGTTGGCCTACATAATAGTGCATCGTCAACACAAACAAGCAACGTTGCATAAACATCAAGCACGCAAATTGCATGCATAATATAAAGAAACAAAGCGTAAAATAAAAATATAGTAAAAAATTTCATAATGTAAAAAAAGGCATGTTAACAAGACCAACACAAGAAAACTTCACACTCTAAAAGCATTAGCAGAAACCTCATACTATAACTTTCTCGCAAAAAAAAAATATTTAAAAAAAATGTACGCCGGGCGTGTTAACACATTGTCAAAATGATATTGAATTCTTTCGATGGGTAGTAGCAATGGCGGTGTGTACAAAGGGCAGGGACTTAATTAACGGGAGCTCATAAATCGCGCTTGCTGAAAATTCCTCGTTCAAGGGGAACAATGGCAAGCCCCTAGCCCAATTGAGAATGAGGTTCCACGGGTTACCCAGTCTTTACAGACAGGAATAAAAACACGCTGCTTCCTTCAGCGTAGTGCGCGTGCGGCGCCGGACATTTAAGGGCATCACAGACCTGTCATTGCGCTGTTTCGTGGGGCTAGGAGCCGCTTACCCCCTAAGAAGGGCGCAAGGTGCAGAGAACCACGCACCTATTTAATAGGCTAGAGTCTCGCTCGTTATTGGAATTAACCATACAAATCGCTCCCCCAACTAAAAACGGCCATGCTTCACCATCCACGAATCAACACAAGAAGCTCTCAGTCTTTCAATCCTCCTTCTGTTTGGCTCAAAGGAACCAAAACCACGGTGAGAGAGAAGAGTCCTGCTAGGTACAGCAATCAAAACTGGAAAGGTTAGTTTGGGGCAATCGATAAAACCGTGAAGACATTTCTGTACAAATAAAAGCACGGTGCGTGCCTCCTTTCGGAGAGGCAGCGCAGTTTAAAATCATTGACACTCGCTCATGGCTGAAATAAGTTAGCCTGTTAAAATAGCAATCATAAAGCAGTCATACAAACTTACTATATACATTTTCGAATTCCTTCGGTATTATTTGGTTTAAACAATTCCACACAATGGTTTAGAAATCAAGTTGAGACAAGATGAGGGATGGATATAGATACAAAATCATGAGTATCCCCTAAAAATTGCTCGTCATTGTGGTAAACTCACCCAGAATACTGTAACGTCCACTGCTCAAATATGTCACATGATCACAGTATTTCAATTCTCTGAACAAGAAGATTCTTAGATCACGTACAACTGAAACGCGCTCAATCGAGCCCTCGCTCAAAGTGTAGTAAATTGTGATACAAAATTGTTTTCTCGAAAAGGTGTAACTTTTATTTTAGTCGGGTTAAGAACCAAGTTGTTGTTTCCGAACCAATCTGCCAGAGCAGTAATATCTTGCTGCAGTTTATCTCATTAAGAAATGTCAACAGTAGCTCGAAAAGCTTAATGTCTGCGGCGAATCGTAACATTTCCGAGTGATTTCTGCACGAGCAAATATCGTGCGCGAATATGTTGAAAGGCAGAGACAATAGATTAGAACTCTACAGGACGCCCTACCGTGAGATGTACTCGGTTGACTGTACACCACAGTGTGAAACAGAATTCCATCGGTTTTTCAGATAGCTTTGGATACATTCGCAAGGTGGTAAGGAGAGATCATAAAGAGATCATAATGACTCACCAGGTCGAATTATTTTTAAATTAAAGTAACCTTCGTCGACCTACTGGTTAGACCCTAGTTTGGCACCCGAAAAATTTTGAAACGCAATCATCTTTAATTCCACCGAAAGGTTCGTCATAAAACTATGTTGAAGCACGTGTATGCGTCTGGAGAAAGGCGATTAATATGACAATGCATGAGCTTTTCCAACACCTTGGCAGACGAACAGATCAGTGAAATTGGACGATAATTACTGACAAATAATGCTGACCCGTCTTTGACTATTGGCACCACTAGTCAAAGCTTACAGGAAGTAAGAAAAAGCCTACCTTTCAACGACCGATTAAAAATAAAAATTAAAATCGGAGGTAACACGTCGCTCCACCCTTTGAGTCTAAATGAAGGAATGATGTCCACTCCCTCTGGAATCTTAGGTGGTAAAACCCCAACTGCAGCAAGAATGATGTTACTGCTCAGCTCTGGAATAAATAAGTACGTTTTTCCTGTTCCGGCAAAATTCAGATTTCAGAGGTACTGTCTCTTTCAAACATTTAGAACCCACCTTGCGCGTGGCCGCACGGGGCTCGTTCCCGTGCTGTGGCGCTCTTATCGTCGTTGCTCACAGGCTGCGTGATTATTTTAGAGTGAGGGGGAACATAACTCTCGCGTTGCGGCTCGCCTTGATAACACAGTAGCCCAAATAACGAGTGCGCCGTGCGTCTTGCTTGATCTCGTTGCATGCTACTGCGGTGCGGAGGCGCTTCCGCAGCAAGTGATGGTGCGCTGCCCCTGCGCTTTATAGACAACGCACCGCAATTCGTCACAGTGAAATTACGTGCTTGTCTTCCCTCTCCTTACATTAAACTAGTTATTATGTGCTGCGTTGTATAAACAAGGTTCCGTCGCGTGTTCAGGGTAGACATCATGCACAATATTAGTGTATTTTTTACCCTTCTTCCGCGCTGCTGGCGTGGGCGTCTATTACGCACAGAAGTGCTTGCGAAGAAAGTAGTATTTTCTCCAGATCGGCATTGTTGTTTACAAAGCCGGTAGCTGGGCGACTTGATATTGCTTTACTTGGTTGCGAAACCCGCGCCTAAGCAGTTTATTTTACAGGACAGTCATAACATATCAATAAGAAGTAATTAAAGTTATAGACGCGTATAGTTTTCATACCGCGTCTCTACAAACATTTGTGCATATTCACAAACATCTCAATAATTGCTTTTTTTTACAAGAATGTCTTAATGTTCTCGAAGAATTTTATTACCTGGGTATTAAATACCGCAAATAAATAAGAATTTTCATGTTTCCTTCCAAACTGTATTTTTGAGAATGCCCCACAAATTTGGCCCCAAGGGAGTTAGCTTCCTATTTTAGTGGCAGTTATTTATTCCTTACAATTTATTGGACTATTGAAGATAACCTGTGTTGTAGGAGAATTACAGAAATCGCGAGAACAGGACGACACATGTGTCGTCTTGCCCTTGTCAGTTATGTTGTTCTCCTCTAACACCATAACTTTATCAGCACGTCCAATTTTCAGAAATGAAAAGGATCCATAAAGTCCGAATCCACTCCTCCTAAGGTTATTTATTTCTGAAATTAATTAAAAGTTGTCTGGGAACTAAATCTGATTATTCGTTTCTTTTTTTATTCTCATTGTTGCAAATTCGCTTGCGCTACTATTTTATGCGTGTATTTTTATTCTTGTATAAATCCTTGTGCGACAACTTATGTAATCGCTTCAATCACGCTATTAAAATAAATTACCCAATATTTATAAATAATCAAAGCAGAAACTCTTCTGTTTCAAGTTGCTTTATACTACAGATATCACAGCAACCATCGCCAAATAGTTTTATTCATTTTTCTAACACTGGCAGCAGAAGTTTCGCATGGGCTGAACTTGCTTTCGCATCACCGTTTTCTGGACGAGGAGCCCAACTACTGAGCGCAGCCGTATGAAGTCTAATGCAGGGCTAAACCCCCGGGGCTTCGTGAAAACAAACTCGAACAATGATCGCCAAGAGCGCATCGTTAGAACCCGGTTACTTGCGCACCGACCCAAACTCGCGCCCAAAACACAAGCTGCCTCTAGGTGGAGCTGCTCTAGGCAGTCTCGCTCTACGTTTCGCTCGGCTCCCGCTGCTCTCGCTATTCCCTCGAGCGGTCCAAAAGGAGCAGGCTCGGCTGGCCGGCTCTCCAGTATTGATTCGGCAGCCTGTGAGGCAGGTTCATCGTTCTTCGCCGTCCGCGCGCGCGTCCGTCCCATGGACTTGTGCTTGCCCGGCGTCCGATGGCTGACGACAGCTGTGTTCTACCCCCTCGAATCCTTCGCCTCGCAACTGACCCACCCAGTAACCGACGCACGTCCATCCCGAGAGTCACACTCTGCACCGGCGAGACATCCTATCAAGACAACCACAACCACGTCGGCAGGTCCAGGAACTCCAGCAGCTCAGAAAGAAACTTGTCCGAACAATGGCATCAATCGTCGTCGAGCGCGTCGTCGAGGTTGAGAACTGACGAAAGCTCGTCCCAGGCCAGTCCTCGTGTCGTGGTTGTGCCGGCTCTCTGCACAAGCATCGTGGACCCGCTGGGACCTGACCTGCCGCCCTTATTTTTCCCGTCCATAGCCATTGAAGAGACCGGGACCACAGGTTTCCTCTGTCCTGGGCAGGCGATGACGACGAGGAGCTGCCGAACTCTGGCGGTCCTCCTGAGGCTACGGGTCAGTCAAATTGTCCTCGGGATTGTGACCCTTGTCCTGGGGGCTTCCGCGTGCCTCGACCCCAAGGCCCGGGAGACACTGGCCTTTGGGGTTCCTGCCGGTTCCCTGACCCTTCTAGCTGCAACTGGACATGTGCGTTCCGTGCGCAGAGAAGGACCCTCGGGACTCCAGCAGAGATCTTGTCCACATCTGGGCGTCCTGTGCATTGCAGTGGTGGCAGCCATAGCGAATGTGTTACTTTTGGTCTTGTCTCTGTTGTCCGCCGGCGCCGGTTCGCAGAATCAAAGATCCCTTGGAGTTCTCCTAACTTGTGCTACGCTTCCTGTGTTGCTTGTGGAAGCGGCTGCTTCGCTCGTGCGGTGGGCTTGGGCGAGACACAAGTGGACAGCGTGATGACGTTTCGGAAATTCGTGCGCTCGACCCTCGCCGGATTCGGAAGGCGTCGGAAACCAAACATCTTAAGAAACAACAAGCGTATGAAGCGAAGTGAATAAAGGTGCCTTGGTTTCGTTTCTTGGAGTACTCGCGGCCACAAGGAAGAAAATCTGAGCAAGAAACGGTGAGGTCGGCGATGTTCCTTGAAACGACTGTTGTCATCATGAGGTCAGCATCAATCGGTTCGGTGACCAGTGATTTATTATGTACATGGTTCATCAATGGTCATCGGCTGAAACATAGAGCTTCAAGTTTTAGGGTATTTGAGGGTAAATGCCACAAGATGAATGACATCTTCCTGTTTCGTGGTTTAAGCGCGATGCAAACAGAAGATGGTTTCGTCGTTTTTTTTTATACTGTTTTGAGTGTATACTGTTTTCTTTGAATTAAATTAAAATTTCACTCAGAGGAAACAAAATACTTAAGAAATCTGTAAATATTTCTTAGCTGTAATGCCGTAATGTATTTAAGTAGTTGGGATGGACGTCGCTGTCGCAGCTAAGGCACCCTCAGTTAGAAGCGCCTATACTTTGTCGCTTCAGTTCGCCTAAAACGAGGTTGCAACGGTTGAGTGTAAACGTATATAGTACAGTTCGCGACATAGGGCGAACACGGCATCGGCGATGTTTTTTTATATCGAGAATTACATTTTTTCACTCGGACTGGTTTCCCAAATGGTCACATTTTGCCGCCCCTGTAGGCTTAGAGATAACAACTGAATTTCCAGGAACAAGCAAAACAAAATATACCGACGCTCGCGTGTATCCGCTGAGAGTGGCGCGCAGTAAGAGTGCAACGTCAAGAGCAGGCTCGAAGCCGGGAGGATATGTTATATATACATATTAAACTACAAAATTTGTAGTTACAAAATTACATTTACACTTACACATATTACATTGTTATACAAAATTAAACTACAAACATGTACCAACTGGCCCGATTTGCTATCTTCTTCCAAAAATTGATATGGTCACGAGGCTTAGGTTGTTTGTGTGTTAATCGAAATTACATCGGATGTAGTGTGGAGAGGAATTACTAGTAGGTCATGCCAATTAAACATTACAGTAGCAGAGGATGAATCTATTGGTTAAGGCTATGAACACGCTGAGATATCGCGTGAGGAAACGTCAGTGCCCATGAACATATCACAATCTTTTATAGAGAATTACGTGTTGATATTTCATAGGTTTTAGAGTATATAATTGGTGGAATAAACGCTCCTGTAAACACGAGCTAGTATAAATGTGTATATCTGCTCGTTTATAGAGCACGCATAGGAAGCTTGATATCCACAAACGGTGTACGCATTACCAACAAATTGAACTATTTAGGGGACGCATACCCAGCCACGTTAAGATGCATATGTTAGAAGGCACATCAGTAATGCCACTGAAAAAAAAATAGAACATCTGCGTTTGAAATCGTCGATGCCAAAGCACGAAAAAACATTAATATGTAGAATGCGTATTATTTATTCTCGTTCTCTAGCTTCATTTTGTAATATAGCTGGCGGGTTTGGTTTCCTAGATGAAGAGGCGAGGGCGTGGGTCATCAGAAAATATGAAACTGAAATCATAACGCTAGTGCTCCGCGTCGTGCTTATTTTGCACATATCTTCGATTACAATAACTCTTAATCCAGCTTCTCTACTTGCTATATGTGAGAAATGCTACCGTAATTTTCCAAAGCGTCTTTAAACCAGGCTCTATAATTATTAAATTCTCTAGGCGAATATTTTACCCACTAACGTTTTCGGCAAGTTTGCCAATGTGATCAAATTAAGAGTTCTTTGCATTTGTGGCGATAAGCCATTTGAATTGTTTTTTGCCGAACCCAAATTATCCACGTTTGCGCGCCTCAAATTCTTGTCATTTGCCTTTGATTTCTCGTTTTATTTTGGTATTCGGATGTCGAATGCTAATATTTTGTTGAGGCCAAAATATAATATATATTGCGTTCAGATATGTTTTATAAAGAAATTATTCAAATGGCCTCCCGAAAACTTGTACTAGCGCTTCCTTCAGTTCATTGAATCCGATCAAAAGCACGGGGACCAAGAACAGAGCCTCTCAAAACACTTTTATACTTTTTTTTTGTTTTGTGAGGGGCCTAATTTTGATTTGTAGTTTACGAAGAACCTAAATATTAATTTTACTGGCGTATATGTCTTCGTGGGATTGTTAGAATTTACAAAATTGGCGTATGAGCGCATGGTAATGCTATTTTTTTTTGTTATAACTTATAACCATAACAAGAGCTCCATCTAAAAAAAAACGAATTGTTTTTATTAAAGGGACACTGACAGCACATTATTGTTGCCAAGATTTTTTTTTTTTTATTCATGATATATGAGAGCCCAACTACCCAGAAAACGATTCGCAGCTCGAAATTCCTTTTCTTTACGCCCGACAAGCGCTCATCGAGAACTGGCGGGTTTGAGTCGCGCTCACTCTCTTCTCCGTGGTCACGTGCCGTTTTTTTGTGATTTAGTCGCACAACCACCAAATATAATCAAAGTTGTGGGTCATCCAGGGAGAGACAGAATATTAAAAACCAAATAAATATGATATCCAATTTTCTCGCTTCTAAAAACCTGCAAGCACGTTAATTGGGAAAAAGTATCACAGCCGCGTCACTTCCACCCACTCTCTCCTCCTCTATATTTCTTCTTTCTTCTCCGCCCAACCTCAACTTCGGTGCCGAGCTGTTACGTTTTTCTTTTTTTACTTTACTAAAAATATACGTGACGCTGTTGCAGTATATTGCTTGGGTAGCCTTCTGAGACGATAATAAACCACTTGGCAAAAAGTATAAATAAAAACGTTTTGAGATGTCAGTGTTCCTTTATGCAGCTCTTACTTAACACGTGTAGTGGCCATCTTACAACCTTTAGTATATAAAAAAAAAGCTATAAGCTGCAACATATAATTAGGGCTCCGTGTTTTCGGAGTTTTTTTTTTCGTGAAATTCGGAGGGTGTTTTTCGGAGTTTATGTTTTTGCAAAAAATTCGGTGTTTATCGAAGTTTATTTTCGTAAATCCCCGATTCTCCAAAATTCGGAGATTACTTTCGCAGTGTTTTATATTAAAAATAATATATAATAACAGGATGCAAAAGTATGCCAGGTAAAAAATAAAACGCGCCTGTATCAATTAAGATTTCTTCAGTTGAATTTGGCGTCGGTGCCATTCACAATACTAATTTGTCCCACAACAAAAGTCGCACACAAGTGTGACTTCGATAAACGTCGATACCTTAAAATCAATAAACTGCTGGAGGTAGCCGCAAGGAAGCTCCGTAGTCATACCATCAATCTATCCCACGGCCGCGCGAGGTGGAGGGGTTGAGGATGTAATAGAGAGGTTTCGATTGCCCCTCTTCCCTATTTTATACAATATCTATAACCCATAGCTTTCGCTGTTACCCACAGAAACATACCATCTCCTTTCTCTAAATCCCAAATCCCATGGCCCAAACTAGAAACCAAAAAAGTGGCTTTTGTCGTGACAGGAATGGTACGATCACCTGTTTCCTTTTATTTATTCGCTTTCCCACAGCTCCAGGGTGGCGTTACAGCGGGGAGGAAATTTTTGTTAATGTGATACATTTAAGCAATACAAAGGAGCATAACAGAACGCGCGCATGCATACCCAGTACACAGGAAACAAAAAAAAAAAAAGCACTTCTCATAATGCAGCAGATAAAGCGTCATTGTCCAAAATGTCAACCACCTCCGAAGGCAATTGATTCCATTCGCTAATAGATTTGGGGGAAAAGGAAGATTTAAACTGATTTGTGTTACATTTATATTCACGTACAGTGCCCCTCAAACTTAACGCCGCCACTCGGTTTCGCAAATATTGATCTATTGCATGCTACGCAAATATAAATTGATCCCTACAACAGCTGGAATACCTTCCCCTGGTTGGGTTTTCATCAGGGACGCAAATCTTCACCAACTAGTTCGACGGCCAGATTCAGGAATAGCTCAAAAAGTGAAGAAACCGGACCATCTCGTGGCGGCGTTAAGTTTGGGGCGCACCGTACCTTTCGTTCGTGATCGACACGATGAGAGATATAATCGGGGGGAAAATGTAGTTTTCGCGCTGTATACTAATTCTGCAGTGGTGAATGTTATGAAATAATTTTAGCCGTAGTTTTTTTCTTCTTTTTTCAAGAGATTCCCAGCCTAAGAATTCCTTCAGACTTGTCATACTGAGTCGCCTGTTATAATTCCCAGAAACATATCTAGCCGTAAAGTTTTGAAGTCTTTCAGGTTAATTTCTATCAACAGCAGTTGGTGGGTCCCAGTCTCTACACGCGTACTCGAGAACGGACCTGATATAACGCTGAACCGATCTTGACGAGACAAGCCGTAAGACCCCCTTTTGGCAACGGTCCGAGGTTTGAAAGATAATTATGGTGTTATTTTCCCAGAACCATTCTTCCTGCGCTGCTCAAAATGTAAAAAAAAAAGAAAAAAAAAATTGTTGGAGGGGGGGGGGGGGGGGGGGGGAGGAGGGACGGCAATGGCACATAATTCGGAGTTTATCGGATAAATTCGAATTGACAAAAATTTTACCGGAGGGTGTTTTTCAGAGTTTTTCGGATTTTTCCGAAAACACGGAGCCCTACATATAATGTAGGGGGGAACATTGCTACAACAAAGAAATGCTGTAGGAGGATATCTACGTAGAGCGAGTCTGGCCCCGCAAAAAGGGAATGTTCTATTGAAGATGTAAAACCCATTCCATATGAAATGGATGCTTTGTCCCTTCACAAAAGGAGCGTGCACCTGAAAGTAAAACAGGATTCGAGATCTTTAGAAAGATTAAACTATAAAACATGTGAAATAAAGAGCGATCAAATGTAAAAGCTATGGGTTCAAGATATGTGGAACCGGCATAAAGAACGTCTCTAACTCAGCTAACTCAACAGAGACGCTGTCTGCCCCTGTT